AGCTATAGTTGTACTTTTGGTTCTGTTCCCCACTCGGACAATCCTATTAGTGCATTTCGATATTTCTTCGAGGAATTGATCCAATGCATGATTTGTGAAGGAGATAACCAGTATTGGGCTAGAATCAACTTTATTCTTCCAGATTGTGCTATTATGGAGCAATACCTGCGTAATCTTAAGGCCAATGAAGGTTTTTCCAGTTCCAGGAGGTCCTTGGATGATAGCAAAACATTGCGTGAGAGCACTGTGCAAAGCTCGACGTTGCGAGTCATCTAATCCAAGTTCCTCTGAAGTGGGCCACGTATCAATTTCACTCTTCACATTAACATTGCAAAGGGGAGCGTCTATAGGTTTCCTATAAATGCCTGGCTTGACCTTTAGCCCCAGATCCTTGACAACACGTAAGTCGTACAATGTATCCTCTCGTAAGTATTTTGGGATGTCCACATTTGGCTTTACATAGATGATATAAGGCTCGAATGGTACTTTATCTGCCAGGTTTTTTAAGCCTTGAAGAACGTATTTGTAAGCCATAAAGTATGCTTTGGACTCTATCATGACAAAACTGCCTTTGAGGTCTACCGTCCTAAGATCAGAATGAAATCTAATGCCCAGGAATCCTTTGCGAGCCAGATTGTCAGTATCAGCAACTGTTCCAAGGAGTAAAGTTTGAAAACCATCATTACTAAGACACAGCAAGTTCTCATGCATCAGTCGCTTGCTGTTTTCTAAATTGATGTGCTTCGGAAGCTTCACTTGGGCTATGTGCATAATTTCTCCCTCTTTGATGACAGGTTTGCTGATAGTAACATCCTTGTAAACTCTGATATCTCTGTTGCGAATGCCTTCTTTGAAATCATTGATACCTGTTCTTAGAGGTCTTATGAAGTCCTCCCGGAGCAGGCGGAACTGCACATCTAAATAATGATTGTTATCTTTGTAAGCTCCCTTTGTGATGTTCCTGCGGACGAAGGGTTGTTCCCTTTTAAGCAGTTCTTCACATGTTGGAAATGAAGGAAGGTCTCTGAAATCTTCTGGAGGTTCTACATCATCCAAAAGGGAAATCGTTTCTATTGCCTTCCTTCCATGTCCATGATACCCCTTTCGCTGCTCTTCCATTGACAATTTCTGTAGCTCTTCATATTTCTCCAACAATTCTGCATCCTCAGTTACTTGTAACACTGCCAAGCACATATCAATCAGATTCGACAGTCTGTCCACATTAGCACTAACTATCACTCCAGCATAAGCTTCTAAAAGGATAAACAGGTGTTTAAGGAAATCATGGCATTTTTCAGGGTATTTCCTTTTTATCCTCATGGTATAGGAACACATCCTATCCAAAAATCCTTGTCCACATATCAAGAGTATTAGTTCATTCATGGTTTCCCTACAGGAAATGGGAGCTGCGACATGGGCAAAGACTTGGACCAGGAGCATCAGAGATTCATCCTGCACTTCCTGCTTCCGAACAAGAAGGCAACACATTGACTTTTGCCGCAGCAGCTTGCGAGCAGCCTCTTCGGGCTGGAGTTTGAGAAAGTCCTCGAGTTCCCTGGTAGTGATAGGTCGGCTTTGATTCTGCACTTGACTCTTGGTGTCAGACATCTGCAAGCCCAGGTTGACGTCCTTACCTAGCGGTTTCGCCATTTTAGACTTTCTGCTAGAAAAACAAAACAAAAACAAAATGGTTAAGGACAGGAGAGGAAAGAACAGAGAGAGGAAATGACAGGAGGGAGTGGGGTGAAGAAAAGAGAAAGGAAAGACGTGCCATGCCACCTCAAACTGTAATCAGTAAAGTGTTAATTGGTGAGCCTAACGCGACTGTTTGTGGTCGTTACATGTAGTGTAGCCCTATGGGTAAGTGTTGTGGCAGGCCTACAATAGGTTACGGGTTCTTTCTAGGTGAAGAGGCCCTAACGATAGAGAAAATCTGCGAGGAGGTTGGTGGTTCCGAGTGGTAAGGTATTTCCGTTACAATTATGAATAATGAAGGTATGTTTTGTAAATACTCTATAGATCTGTTCATTGAAAACAATTGAAGTCTGAAATAATAAAAGTAGCATGTAAAACAATACTGATGGTTTATAGAATGGTGATGGGGATACTGTTACAGAATATTGTAGTAGTTACTGTTTGTATTCTATTAGGAATGTGGGTTGAATTCTACCAGATACTGTATTAGTGACATATTGTGGTGGATCAAAAAAGATGAAAGTGGAGATTGAAAATACTTATGAAGAATTTATGTGAAGCGGATGTACATAAAGAAATGAGGAGGGAAAGGATGCAGTAATGAACAAAAATGAACACTGATAAACACTGATAAGATATTCAAGATAATAACGAACAGTAGTGAGCAGTGACAAAGAGTGGAGAACTGTAAAATTCGTGAACATTAACGTAAGCATTTTTATTCGTTTCTACGAAACATATTTGTATTTTTTATGATTTAGATATTTTACCTTTCATGAGAAATTTTCGTACAAGAGAGAGAGAGAGAGGTGGGGAGGGAGGGAGGAGAGGGAGGGAGAGAGGAGAGAGAGAGAGAGAGAGAGAGAGAGAGAGAGAGAGAGAGAGAGAGAGAGAGAGAGAGAGAGAGAGAGAGAGAGAGAGAGAGAGAGAGAGCGAGAGAGAGAGAAAGCGAGAGAGAGAGAGAGAGAAGCGAGAAGAGAGAGAGAGAGAGAAAGCGAGAGAAGA